TTCCAACAACCCAGATAGTTGCTGGAGATTCCTTCCATTCAGAGAAGAAGCCTTTTACAGACTTTCCCCAACTAAAACGTGCTCAGGCGACCAGTGCAGCAAATGCCCTTCAGTAATGGGTCTGGGTCCCCATCAGGCCTTGCCCGCTTTCCTGCCTGCCAGGAGGAAGAGGAGCCGAGTCATCTCTGAGTTTTCACTCCTTGCACCTCATCCTGGTGCTTCCCAAAGAGCTCTCAGTGCTGTCAAAAAGCCCCGAGGCCAAGGGAACACACACATCAGCCAGTTTCCTCCCACTTCACAGATGAGGGCGTGGAGGCCAACTTAGCCAGATGGGTCTCAGGTATTGAAGGAAGGGGTTCGAAAGGGCTGCGGACGTCCCTCGCCCTCTGAACTTTCCTTCTTCTGTAAACACCCAAGAAGCCCTCTGTGCAGCTGACTTGTTCAGAGCCAAGCCTGCAGCTGCCCAGCCTCTGACCCCTGACCCAGCATCTCTCAGACAGCAAAGGGAAAGTCGGTGGAACCTTCCATCATCCTCCAGGGCTAAGCGGACAAGGCAGGTTGGACACTTCAAAAATCACAGTGAGATGAATTATCTTTTCTAAGTGAAGACTGTCCTTTCTTCTGGAACACCTCCTCCTGTTCATTCCTTCCCGGGGCACCTCCTGGTCAGTGTACACTGTGCATCCCTGAGGCTGGGACAGGGGCACGATGCCAAATCACCCCATCATCTGAATGTGTCTCCTGATCCTTGAATCGCGGCCAGAACTTTCCCTCCACTGTTTGCCCTTCTGCACGTCCTTGACCAAAAAAGAAGGACAGGGCTTCAAAATGGCTCACTCAGAGCTGAAAGAATGACTCTACAGCTTTCTCTCTTTGAACTTAGTGGATTGAAGTCTTTAAAAAAAAAAAATTAGCAGTTACCATTTGGTAAGAGTGAAATTGCTGAAAATCTGACTGTTTGAGACATGCTTGTACCCACAGGTGGTAGATAAAATTATCAAGGTTAATTTAAGTGTGCTTTGGTTTTTAAGTACAACACACCCGGTCTATCTGTCCTGGTCCTGAGCCGGGCTGTAGAGAGCGCAGAGCAGGAATCGCAGAATTGAGTTCCAGTTTCCTTCTGTCACTTACTTCCTCTGGGATCTTGCTTAAGGAGCTTAATCTCCATGGATCTGAGGTTCATCACCTCCAAAATGGGACAGTAACTACCACCTTGGGTTCACTGTAAAATTAATGACATTTATAGTGTAACCAGTATACCACTTAAATGTGACAGCTTAAAAGTATCAAGCCAACATGTAATGAGATCTGCTATATACCTTGGGCTTCTATGCCCAATTCTGGAGCCATAGTTCACATCATAACCATCAGAGATTTGTGAATTTATTAGGAGGTTCCACCTCCATCCTCAGGCAGAAAATAAAATATTCTGGGGAAAGTATACTGTCTCAAAATTCACAGAGAGGCAGCCACATAGTCCAGCAGGGTTGGGGCCATGGTGGTCATGACAAAAATCATATCTAACAGGAAAAGGCAATTCTGACACTCAAAAAAACAAACAAAAAAAACCTAAAACAACTCACTGGTTGATAGCTGAGTCTCCAAGGTCAAGGAGGGAAAGGAAAGCATTCCTCACAGAACGAAGAGTCCCAGGAACTCAGCAGTCGTGGTGATATTTATTAAAGTAAGTCCACAGGGATGTCCCTGGCGTAGCAGTAGTGTTGATATTAAACTAAGTCCACAGGGACGTCCTTGGCATAGCAGTAGTGGTGATGTTTATTAAAGTAAGTCCACAGGGATGTCCCCAGTGGTCAAACGGTTAGGACTTCTCCTTCCAGGGCAGGGGTGCAGGTTTGATCCCTGGTCGGGGAACTAAGATCTCACATATGTCTAAGCCAAGAACTGAAACATGAAGCAAAACTGTAACAGATTCAATAAAGACTTTAAAAATAGTCCACATTTTAAAAAACTTAAAAAAAAAAAAAATATAGCCCACAAATTCTGTGATCTTCCTTCTTTTAGAACGGTGAAGCCTCCTTCTCCTCTCCATGAGTGTGGGCTGTTTGGTAATACTCTCCTGATGAACTGGGCATGGTGGAGGTGTGTGACTTGGCTTCTTCCCTGCCCAGGTCACTCTCGCAGAGAGGGGGGAGCCAGCTGCCACGTTTTAAGGACTCCTGCTGATACCACATAAGCTCTCTTAGAAGCAGATCATCCAGCCTCAGTCAAGCATTCAGATAATGCAGCTCTGGCTGACTCCTCTCTGTAGCCTGATGAGACATCTTGGGCCAGAACCATCTGGCTAAGCCTCACCAGGATCTCTGATCCACAGAAACCAAGATAACAAATACTTATTGTCTTAAGTTGCTGAATAGTGGGGAAATTTGTTAGCAGCCATGCATCACTGAGTGTGTTAGTTGCTCAGTCTTGTCTGACTCTTTGTGACCCCCATGGACTGTAACCCACCAGGGTCCTCTGTCCATGGTATTTCACAGGCAAGAATACTGGAATGGGTGGCCATTCCCCTTTCCAGGTGATCTTCCCAACCCAGGGATCGAACCCAGGTCAGCTGCATTGCAGGCAGATTCTTTACCGTCTGAGCCACCATTACCACCACCTAGATACAGACAGATCACTGATGCAGTGGTTAAAAAGTCCCCAGTGAAAACTTCAGTTTGGTTGGAGTGCAGAGGTCTAGGCGTGGTGGCTAAAAGGGACACAGAATGTGAGGCTTGACAGCAAGATGCCTGACGATCTTGTTAAGAAGTTAGGATTAATCCTACGAGCAACTTATTTAAGCAGAAGGATTTTTTACTTAGAAGAGTGACATGAACAGAATTGATTATAAAATCCTTGGCAAGAACTGGGATGGGTAGAGGCTGACTGGGTAGAGGGGGACCTGCAGTTAGAAAGTTGTAGGAACAACAGTGCAGTCAAGAGACGATGAGAGCCTGAACAGAGTCAATGATAGAGGAGGTGGGTATGGGAGGACTGTCTTAAAATATGCTGCTTTGCAGAAAGAAACTAGTTTCTAGGGCCAGCTAGTGCAATCCTGCGTCACTCTGCATTGTGTGGGGGAATAAAAGTGGGCTGAACTATATTACAGCCCAATACTCACACCAACAGTATCATCACACATGCACACACACTATCAATATACTTACACCCATGAGCTAAAAAAAGTGAGCATTTTGCAAAAAGGACTTCACTTTAGGAAATGGCTTACTCTTGGATTTAATGTGAAGCATTTGAAATCATCCTTTATAGAAGCTCTAATTTCAAAGACAAAAAGAAAATAAGGAACTCCCAAATTCCATAAGAACCCAAAGCCTCACATTTGTTCATGGTATAAAGGCCACAGACGATTAGACTTAACAATAGTGGGGGTGATTTATAGGTTTGTTAGAACACAGGTTAAGGTGGTTTTGAAGCACTGGAAGACTGAAACAAAATCTATAACTAAAACAGCATAGGCAGTGATAGTAAATTTGCCAAGCCCTCATCTCCAGCACCACCAGTTACTTTAGGAAAGTAACATCTATCTTTGGTATTTCAATAGCCCCAGAGAGAGATGGGTATATAAATACTAAAGCCATGAATATTTTAAATGGCTTCATTTCTATCCAAATGATGAAGGAAGAAAATGTGTGTGTATAAAAATATTAAGCTTTCATCCTATTATCTTTAATCCATTGCACCATCACCACTCATAGCAGTATTTCAGACTCTTCTGGCAAGTAGAGTTCTACTTGAATTAAAATTAAGAAGAGAACCAGAAAAATTCAAAACCAGTAGACAGAATCAAATCTGATTTTCAAAGGAAAATGTTGGTGAGTCTAAGAGTTGCAAATCATATTGTTTCTGAAACTTTTAAAATAATCCTTTCTTTTACTTTTACATGTTATATGCAACTTTTAAAAAGACCATTACAGTATACTAACACATATATATGGAATTTAGAAAGATGGTAACGATAACCCTATATGCAAAACAGAAAAAGAGACTCAGATGTATAGAACAGACTTGTGGACTCTGGGAGAAGGCGAGGGTGGGATGTTTCAAGAGAACAGCATCGAAACATGTATATTATCTAGGGTGAAACAGATCACCAGCCCAGGTTGGGTGCATGAGACAAGTGCTCGGGCCTGGTGCACTGGGAAGACCCAGAGGGATCGGGTGGAGAGGGAGGTGGGAGGGGGGACCGGGATGGGGAATACATGTAAATCCATGGCTAATTCATTTCAATGTATGACAAAAACCACTGCAATGTTGTAAAGTAATTAGCCTCCAACTAATAAAAATAAATGGAAAAAAAAATGTTAATCTTCAAATAACTTGATTCATTAAATAGCTGTTGAATACTCAACGTCCTATTAATAACATGAGATAAGACAGTCCACTGGGAGGAATGATACTTCACTAGAATGAAAATTCAAGTGAAAATCTAAGTTCCTTGAGGCAGACACTGTGTTGTTGACCACAGCGGTCTTGGGTCAATGGTAAGGCCTGAAAAGGGAATCACTCATCATATACCCTTTTGATAGAGGAATGAATGAATGAATGAGTGGACCACTATATAAACACATGTAACATTAATGATACTGGGTTTGTTCAAATAAGAACAAGGCTATAAATTTCAAAGGTCTGTCCCCACTGTAAGAACTCCACTGTGAGAACTTGTAACAAATAATTACAACCTAAGAGTTTGGTGGAAGATGTGAAAAATCCTGATTTTAAGAAAAGATAAAAAACTGAAAGTTGTGATTTAAGCAGCAGCAGATTTTAGGAACCTCAATGAAATTATTTTAGCAAAAAAGCACACTGATCTAACTACAATGAAGAATACAGCTGTTCAGAATGATTGGGATATGGTGAAAATAACTTAATGAAATGCTGCTTCTTCAAGACCCTCAAAAGTCTCCTTCTGGCTCACAGTCCAAAGTGAAACTTCTGTGGAGGGAGTGAAGGAAAAGACAAAGAGAAACCACCACCATGAGAGCCTGCACCAGAGCTATTTATTAGAGTAACGTTGCTTTTTTTTTTTCTTCTTAAAGATTTCATAAACAACTGAAGTATGTACAAAGTCTTACAGCATTTACAGCATAAAAAGTATCCTATGAGCTGATGAAGGCTAAGGCAGTGCTGCTGGGAGCTCCAGGGCATGTCTACAAGAGCGAGGAAGCTGAGCATCCCAGGTGGACCCCTTGGCCACTGCAGGATGACTGTCAGCTGTCAGACAGCCAACTAGACCACCTGTAGCACAGCTTATGGGGGAACAAGCTGATATGCAGCCCTACGGATCTTCGGGTTGAAAAGCTACACAGAGTCATGTTTCAAGTTCCCTGCAGCCTCACAGGTTAACATATGCATGAGGACATAGTCATGCTGCCCAGATCTGGTCCAGCTACCAAAGGTACTGACTTCTGAAGAGAAGGCTCTAAACTGATATGGCTGGCATTTCCATTTGTGTTCAGTGGTCTTCAGGTAGTTCCCACCACCCAAGCCCCACTCCCCTCTCCCAGATAAAACAATTACAACAAAGGGAGGGAGGAGAATCCACTTGGAATTCTCAACCAAAAAACCAACTTAAAAAAAACCCAAAAAACATTCAGTATCAGCTCTAGGGTGGCCAGTTCTGTCAAATGATTGGTAGTCGAAATTTCTAAATCAACCCAATCAGATTAATAGTAACAAGCCCCTCTAACACCCAAGCTCCTGATTTAACCCCCTTCATTGTATCTGATTGTCTTTCCTTGGGGTCAGTATTACATAGAACCACCAACGTTTATACACCAAATCAGACACAGAATGATGTGTCCCCAACCATTCCTTGTGTAAATGGCAAGAGGACTGTCAACAGTAAATGACTGACATCGGATTTCCCACTTTCTTTCTCAGAAAGCCCAGCCCAGTTCTCTGGGATCCCTCACTATCTGTTTGATAGCAGAGCCCATTTATTTTCCCGTTTGGGTCTCACATGTAGGCAAATTGGCTTTTTTTAAATTCAAAAAGATGCTACTCCCAACTTAAAAGCCAGTTGATAAAACTTTTAATTAAGACACCATAGCGCGGGATATAAAAACACTAGAACCACATAAATATTGAAGAAGTTGTATACCGTTTTCCGTGTAAACAGTTTTGCCAAAGATTGAAGCCCTAAATTAGGATGTGGCCTGACACTTTGGGGCGGGTGACGCGCGACCGGCAGGCTCGGCAGCGATGGTAGCCGAGGACGCCAGGTCAGTCCCCGTGTTGGCGGGCATGCAACGGGAAAGACATTGCACAACAAGCAACACAAAGAGAGTGGAGAAGCTCACAACACTTCAAGGAGACCTCACAATCTTCACAAGTGCCGAGGCGCGGACAGAGAACCCCCCCTGCCTCCCTCCGGGCGCGCTGCTGCCTCTTACACGTGGGACACCTTCTGCGACTCCCTGGCCTGCTTGATGCTGTACAGCCACTTGATGATGCGCGCGTTCCTCTCGATGGCGGAGATGCCGTAGGGCACCCGGTCATTGGCACTGTCATCGTTCCTAAGGTCACTGTTACTGTCCTGAGACTGTTCGCAGTCCGAGCTGATCATGCTGGCGCTGCGGAAGTTGAGCGAGATGATGTCCGAGTTGGCCCGCGCGAAGTTCTCCATGCCCAGGTTCTCCAGCTCCTCTGGATCCAGTCCGCAGTAGTTGAAGAAGCGCTCCACGTCGGCGTCCACGCGGAAATACCTGTCGCTCAGGTCCGACTTGGAGCGCTGCAGCGAGGGTCTCCTGCCCACCCCGCCGGCTGGCTCGGCCGCTTCGGCCTCGGGGGACTTCACTGCGGCCGGGGCGGCCACCTTGGGCTTGGGGGGCAGCGGCGGGGCGGAACTGCTGCAGGGGAGGATGGCCTTCAAGGGCCTGGCGCCGGGCCCCTGGCGGATGTCCGAGGAGCTGTGGGACACGTGCAGAAAGGCGTCGGCAGCGGCAGCGGCGGAAGAGGTGGGCTCGGGCAGCCGGCGGCCCACGTGCGAGCCGCCCTCCTGGGGGCTGCCCCGGCCCGGCGCTGGGCGCGCGCGCAGCGACTCAGCGAATGAGTGCCGGTGCAGCTCGGCCGCGTCGGCCCGGGGCGCCGGCCAGTTCCGCGCACTGTGCTTGTGGCCCGAGCCCGCGGTGGAGCCTTCGGAGCTGTTGAGGATGTTCTTGAGGATCTCCAGCTTCAGGGTCTCGCGAGGCGCGCCCCCCTCGCTCTTGGCGCCGCCGCCGCCGCCGCCGCCGAAGCCCTTGAGCGTGGGGCTGCCGAGCGCGCGCTTGGCGGCCGGGCACACGGGGGGCTTGGCCAGCACCGCCGGCTTCACGGGCTCCTGCTTGGCGTTGATGACCTCCTGGCTCTTGACGTACTTGGCCTTGTCGGCCTCCAGCCGCTCCACGGCGCTGAGTCTCTTGGGGTTGGGCTCCGCCTGGCGGCGAAAGTAGTCGGGCCCCTTGTTGAGGATGCGCAGGGGCACGGCCGACGTGAAGGTGCCGGCGGGGCTGACCGGCTTCACCATGCTACCTGTCTGTAGGCTCTCCGTGGGCATGGCGGGCACTCTCTCCCCGGCGGCCGTGGTGGATGCTCGTGTGCGCGCCTCCGGATGCGCCGGGCAGACACATGTGCGGGCAGCACAAAGCGCAGCGGCTGTTCCAGAACCGAGGGTCAGCGGCGGCGGCAGCGCCTCATCTCCCGCTCGGTCACCGCCCCGGGACTCTAATCCCCTCGCCCCCTCGCCGGCCGGCCGGTGCGCAGAGGCCACCAGCCCCCAAGTTCCTGTAATCGGGCCTCGCCGCCTCCTTTCTCCTCCCCGAAGGATGTGGGAGTCTCCTCCAGGTCTTTGTGTTCAACTGCAGGCAGAGCTGAAACACACAACAACCAACCGCGGGTTAGGATGGGCGAGTGACATCACGGCTGTAGCAACAGCGAAGCCGCGCGCCCCCGCCCCGCCGCCCCCGCCCCGGGGCGCCCCCCAGCCCAGGAGGGAGCTGATACCGGCGGCCGCACCGGGCCCCTGCCGCCCGCGCCCGGCACTCGGAGGCCGGCGCGGTTCCAGAAAAAGAGCGGCGGAGGCTTCCCACGCGCCGACTCTTCCCGGCGCCTCCCCATCAGAGAGACCCGCCTCCCGATCACGCCCGGCCCGGCATCACTTAAACCCAAACCCAGGAAACACCAGATGAGAGTAGAAATGCGGGTCCCCAAAGCCCGGTTCCCACTTCATGACAGGCCACTGGATTCCTGCGGCTCTCTTATCTGCTTAGGCTACAGTCTCGGTGACTTCTAAGATGCCCGTTTTGCAATGAAGCAAAACTTCTGACTTCTGTCACTCTAACACTTTTAACAAGCACCTAACGCTTCAAAAACTTAAAAGATGGCAAGAAACGACAGTAATCACTCAGGTTTTTTAAAAGTCAGCATGTTTATCTTATTTTTGCTAACCAGTGTATTTGAAAACACCATCTCCTGTAAACGGAATGTGTCCTAATTCATCTCATTAAATACAAGCTTATTTTTAACTAAACTAGCACCAGACAAGAAACCCCCTAGAAATACTTCTAGATCAATCATATAAATAGATAGTGTGATTATAAATACTCCATGATTTTTCACACAATGGGCAGAAATCGAGTTTTTTGTAGGTATTTTACCAAGTCCCCCAGGGAACTAAGAAGACAAGCTGAAGGTGTAAATCATACCTATATATGTTACTTTATAGAAAACTTGTATAATAGTTAAGCATTCATGGGTCTTATTTATGGCCTTCTGAACAGCTTGACTCCCCCACCCCCCACCAAGACCACTACAGTGAAACACTTATTAATACTCCCAAGATAAATCTTTCTACTTAAAGAGACGGGAGTAACAGACCACTCACCTGTCTCCTGAGAAACCTGTACATGAGTCAGGAAGCAACAGTTAGAACCAGACATGGAACAACTGACTGGTTCAAAATTTGGAAAGAAGTATGACAAGCCTATGTATTGTCACCCTGCTTATTTAACTTGTATGCAGAGTGCATCATGTGAAATGCCCAGCTGGATGAATCACAAGCTGGAATCAAGCTTGCCAGGAGAAACATCAACAACCTCAGATGTGCAAATGATACCACTCTAATGGCAGAAAGTGAAGAAGAGCTAAAGAGCCTCTTAATGAGGGACTGAGAAAGCTAGCTTGAAACTCAACATTAGAAAAAACTAAGATCATGGCATTTGATCCCATCACTTCATGGCAAACAGAAAGGGAAAGAGTGGAAGCAGTGGCAGATTTTATTTTCTTGGATTTCACAATCACTGCAGATGGTGCCTGCAGCCATTAACTTAAAAGACACTTGTCCCTTGGAAGGAAAGCTATGACAAACCTGGACAGCATATTAAAAAGCAGAGACATCATTTTGCTGTCAAAGGTCCATCTAGTCAAACCTATGGTTTTTCCAGTAGTCATGTGTGGACATGAGACTTGGACCATAAAGAAGGCTGAGCACAGAAGAATCGATGCTTTCAAAGTGTGGTGCTAGAGAAGACTCTTGAGAGTCACCTGGATTGCAAGATCAAACCAGTCCATCCTAAAGGAAATCAATCCTGATTACTCGTTGGAAGGAGTGATGATGAAGCAGAAGCTCTAGTATTTTGGGCACCTGAAGCAAAGAGCTGACTTATTGAAAAAGACCCTGATGCTGGGAAAGACTGAGGGCAGAAGAACGAGGTGATAGAGGGCCAGATGGTTGGATGACATCACCGATTCAATGGACTGAATTTGAGCAAACTCTGGGAGATAGTGGGAGACAGGGAAGCCTGGCATGCTGCAGTTCATGGGGTCGCAGAGTCAGACATGACTTAGCGTGCTAACTAGTAGTTAGCACATGATACAGTGTCACATTTGTCTCTGCAGCCCTCTGAACACCAACTAACTCTCTGTCACTGTTGGCAGAGAACACTGATGGGTGCATCAGCATTCCAAACACTGGTTCAGACCCACTCAGCATCGTTGGTTATAATTAGGAGTATTAAGAGAGTAAGTATTCAACTAACATACTGAAGCTGAAACTCCAATACTTTGGCCACCTGATGTGGAGAGCTGACTCATTTGAAAAGACCCTGATGCTGGGGAAGATTGAAGGCGGGAGGAGAAGGGGACGACAGAGGATGAGATGGTTGGATGGCATCACAGACTCAATAGGCATGTGTTTGAGTAAACTCCGGGAGTTGGTCATGAACAGGGAGGCCTGGTGTGCTGCAGTCCATGGGGTTGCAAAGAGTCAGACATGACTGAGCGACTGAACTGAACTGATTCAACTAACATATCCAGTAACCAATTTACAAAATAAATAAAGTAGCATTAGTATAAAATCATCTGCTCTCATGGTAAGAAAAGGAAGTGTCTATTAAAATAAGCTTGGGCGGGGGCTGATAGTTTTCCTTAACATCTTTGAAAACTCAGTCTCTAAGAACACTCATCGTCATGTTTTGTTAGAGACCATTTCAGTAATCTGCAAATGGATTCATTCTAATAAAAATATTTTCCTATGCAAGATTTAAGAAGCCTCAAGGCAATTCCTCCTAATGATTTCCTTTAATTGTGTGGTGCTATTATGATACTTCAATTTAGTTTTTAAAAAACCATCTCCTCTTATGAAGATGAAGTAGGATTGTTTCTTTGAACATATTTTGAATGAAATGCCAGAGGAGTAAGGATTCCTCCTCAGAGCCTGGGGGTCCACCATTCACTGCCTGGGTGCGCCTCCCCCATGGAGCCAGTCCTCCACAGACAGGGTGGGGAGCCAGAGCAGGAGAGAGTCTGGGCTCAGAGGTAACCCCACTGGACTGCCCCCAGGGAACCTGAGGGCCCCCATGAGAGGCCTTGTTTCTCCTAGGCGCATGTGACATTTTCACTGCTTATCACTGCAGCTTCCAAAACGTGTCTGCGGAAGGGACAGTGCTGGAAGATTCAGGAGCAGAGTGAAAGAGGTGACGGACATCTATGCCCATCAGCTTTGTGACTAAGAACCACTGCAAACTCCAGCAGGGAAGATCACCCATCGGGTGATGGCGGGCAGAGCCTGGGCCCCTTCCCCTGGGGCTTTGTCTCCTCATTTGTGACATGAGTGCTTGGATGAGATCCCCACTAGTCCTTCTCCCTCTAAAAGCACGAGGTTCTGAGCAGCCAAGAGTGAGTGTGTGAGTAGTCACTTCAGACATGTTCAACTCTGTGGGACCCCATGGACTGAAGCCCACCAGGCTCCTCTGTCCATGGACTCTCCAGGCAAGAATACTGGAGTGGGCTTCCATTTCCTCCTTCAGGGGATCTTTCCCACCCAGCTTTCAAACCCGTGTCTCTTAAGTCTCCTGCATTGGCAGGTGGGTTCTTTACCACTAGTGTCAACTGGGAAACCCAAGAATGAGAGTTATCTCCAATTTCAAAAAGGGCCCATGGGAATACTGGCCTGTGACCAGACTGTTCTATGATTCCAGCATGTACTGTTCTTATGGGAAGGTTTTTCGGATGATGAGTTGTAGTTATCACATAGCATCCACTGGCACTAAAGCTCACTCTGGCCTACACAATAGTGTCCTTTCTAAGTCCACCATATTTGGACTGGAACCCCCAAAATATCCACCCCAACTGACTTTCCAGCATGCCTACTTGTCCGTCCAGGGGGCTTTGGTACCATTCAAACTAAATGAGATTCATCCCTCTGCACTCTCAGGACTGAGGGCCCAGGATTCCCAGGCTCTGTTCTAGGAAGCATTCCCCAGAAAGCTTGTGTTCCTTCCACCCTACCTTCCATCTTCATGTAACAGAAACCCTGAGAATGTGTGGACAGAGGCAGACAGCCTGAGGATGGTTCCTCCAGGCATGCACGGGGGGTGGGGTGGGCTGTGTGAGGGTGTGTTACCAGACATAAAACCCGCCTGAGATGTTTGCATTAGATAAAGTTATTATTTGTAACCACTTTACACTCCATTTCCTTTCTACCCCCTCTCCTGTCTTTCCTGTCATTCCCAATTTCCCTAATAATAGTCAACACACTGATGATGTCTAGACATGACTGTGGTCACAGTTGNTGATGTAACCCATGATTATGCACCTGGTACAATCTTATCATTCCCCCCTCCTTAAACCTCTTTACATGATTATTGGTTTTAGGGTATATAAGCACTGATGTAAAAGAATAAAGTAGTCTTGATCCTACACTCAACCAAGACTCGCTTTCTTTTCTTTGCCTAGCCACTCATCTGAAGGGAACCCCTGGACTCCGCCGGGGCTGGACCCCGGCATTGTATTTCCTGCATTGGCAGGTGGATTTTTATGACTAGCACCACCTGGGAAGCCCCATATGGCACAACTGATATTTCCTACCTATTTGAGTCAACACACTGAACCTACTTAAAAAATAATGATGATGGCAAAGAGTGCGCCTTCTCTTAATCGTGTCATAATCCTTAATTCTGCTCTTTCACTTCTTGGTGTTTCAGCAGTGCTGGCTGGCACACAGCGGTATAGACCACCTGGTGTTTTGGAGTGTAGACTCACATTGAAGACACCCGGAAACCTGGAGTTACACTGTGATGTCACAGACGTGATAACCATGACGTGTGTTCATGAGCTGTGACCAGGCACAAGACCCTCTGCTGACGGCAGGCTCATCTGAACCCTGATGTCAAGGCAGGCCTGGAGGAGTGCCCAGGCACTGGTGGGAGCAGGCCCGGAGGGGCCTCTTTGCCTCTTCATCTTGTTTCAGGGGAGGAAAATTTGATCTCAGCCAAGGAGGGTTTCATCGACTAAAGTATTAGTAATTATCCAGTCCTGCTTGATCCCTGGTTGAGGGCTAAGGAGACAGAATAGAAGCCTGAGGAGAACTCCCATTCACAGACCATTTTGCCTACATTCTACTCCACTGAATATTCATTGAGAATGTCATGAAAGCATAAAAAGAACTGGAGGAGAAAATGTTGCAGAACCAGAGCATAGGGCAGTTCTCTGAGTCAGGGCAATGCGAATTCAACAGCAGCCCAGCCCGGGGGGCATCGCGGGCACAGCCCTCCCTGCCTGCTTCTTCCTGATGGAGGGCACTGGGGCTGGAGGGGCCACGTTATCTGTGTGGGGAGGGCTGAAGGGGTGCAGAGCCAGCTGGGGACAGAGGACCCAGGGGTGAAGACAGAGTGGCTCCCTGCTGGCTCTGGCGATGCCTCTCAGACATAGATGTGCCTGTGCTTCTGGGCATCTGCCCAACACCCTGAGTCTGACTCAGCAGGTTGGGGTGAACCTCAGATTCTGCCTTTCTCATCAGACCCCAGGTGGTGCCCGGGAAATGGGTCCAGCCTTTGGGTGGAAGAGGAATGGGAAAGACTCTGAGTCCCGTACGGGTGAGCATCAGAGTAGGTCCTAGATACTGGCACAGAGGATGTGAGCCCGGCTTTCCAGTCTCTTACAGAGTAAAAGTCTGGCTTTGGAGGCGTGGAAACAGCCATCCCAGCAAAATGAAACTTCTAAAACCAGAGTGGCCTGGATCCTTCTAACTTCACATCTGCCAGCTCCTCACTGGGTGGTTAGGTAGAGACCAGGATCTGAGCTGCTATATGGGACATTGGGGAGACCCAGTACACTGGTCTCAGGGCATTTACAACCTGGGGAGCAGTGAGGGATAGAAAACGAGCTGATGTCCACACAGTTTATGTGAAAAACGCATAAAGCCAATTCCTGTAACCCAGGCAACATGCATCCCGTGACTCTGAGGTCAGGCAGTCCACGGTGACTGTGGCCTCTGTGGAGGGGTCTCCAGCTAGGGGACTGCCACGGGGAATGGCCTTCATTGATGATGCAGCAAACCTAGATCTCTGAGTGATGGCTCTTTATTTTAAAATTCAATCATGGGCCACATGCTCCTGGTAAGTAAAGAGAACCCAACAGTTAACACCTAACTGATCTTTAAACTTCAGGTGAGAACAAAGTCCTGGAGATGCAGCAAGGATCCTGGGATGGAACACAATCCCTGATTTATGAGTAGAAGCTCCTTCAGTACATGAACACTGATCATTTCTCATGTGTGTTATGGCAGAAGAAAGGTGGAAATGGCTTTAAAGAGGGAGTCTGACTAATTCCATTCTGAGTCACCTCACATCTCAGTGTCTGGATCTCATCTATGAAAACGGAAATGTGTTGAATTCTGTGAGCTTGAAAATGCCTTCCGTTCAAACATTCAGACAGTATATTAAAAAGGAGAGACATCACTTTACCAACAAAGGTCTGTATAGTCAAAGCTGTGGTTTTCCCAGTAGTCATATACGGATGTGAGAGCTGGACCTAGACAAGTCTAAGTGCTGAAGAATTGATAATTTTGAATTGTGGTGCTAGAGAAGACTCTCAAGAGTCCCTTGACTCCCAAGAGTCCCTCTTGAGCAAACTAGAGCAGACTAGAGCAAACTAGTCAATGTTAAAGAAAATCAGTCCTGAATATTCATTGGAAGGACTGATGCTGAAGCTGAAGTTCCAGTTTTTTGGGCACCTGAAGTGAAGAGCCAACTCACTGAAAAAGAGCCTAATGTTGGGAAAGATTGAAGGCAGAAGAGAATGACAGGATGAGATCGTTGGATGGCACCACTGACTTCAGGGACATGAGTTTGAGCAAGCTCTGGGAGATAGTGAAGGACCGGGAAGCCTGGTGTGCTGCAGTCCGTGGGGTTGCAAAGAGTTGGATACAACTTAGCGACTGAACAACAAACGGTCTTGGAGGCAAAGAGCAAAGAAGCAGTTTACCTTTGAGGTTAAAAAGAGTTCTGGAAGAGTGACTTTCTTAGCTTCCTAAAGGTCAGATCACAAAATGTTTACAATCCAAGTAAATGTGTCCCGTGTTGCTTCCTGGTTTTCTGGAAACAGCATCTGAGCCTCAGCCGTTAAGATTCCAACTTGACTGGGGCCACCTTCATAACTGTAATCTTGGGTTTTTTTCCAGTTAAGAGCAGAGAAGCCTCATTGAAATAAGAATATAGTCTGCCACAACAGCGTTAACTTTTGAATTCTTTATAAATGCAAGAGAAAAGCACTCAAAATCTAATGGTGCTTACGGAACCCTGGGCTGGGTTGACTCAATCCATTAGTACCCAGTGACTGTGCAATTATGTGTAAGATGTAAAGAAACAGGAAAGTCTTGACAATTTAGAAAAAAGATTCAACACACACACTATGACTATTAATTGAATAATGTTGATCAATGTGGCAGAACTGTCAGAGCACTGCCCCACCCGCCGCTTCTGGGGAATCAGAAGACAGAGGAGGAGAGGGGAATTGGATGGGGCGTCTGTCCTCAGGGCAGCTAGCTCTCCGCTGAGTTCATGGTTCATCCGAGAAACTTGAAACATACCCAGTGGTCAGTGCGGGGTGGTGAGCTGGGGGGAGAGGGGTGCATGGGGACCGACCTACAGGAGTGAGAATGGGGTGGATAGACTCTGCATTTCAGGCAACGTAATGGGGGAGCCTTACAGGGTGATGATGCATTAGCGACAGGGTCAGGTGTGTTGTTGGGAGGTAGGGGCTGCGGGGAGGGGCCAGGACGAGAGGGGAGCAGAGCAGCTGCAGGGAGGCTGGGCAGAGCTGGCCCGGGGAGGGAGAGGCAGCGGGCTCTAAGGGGTGACCCCCTAAAGGGCACGACCTTTAGGTCTGGATGCTGTCTCTGCCCTGGAAGGGCTGAGCAGCCATGGGCAGGTCACTTCTCCATCCAGGGTCTCAGGTTTCCCATCTCCAAAATGGGCACAGTGATATTACCTACCTACTCGGGGAATTGAGAATGTTAAATAAGGGCATAGAGGCTCTTCTCATCCGTGTCACCCTCACACGGCGGGTGTCTCTGGGGTTGGAGGGAAGACTGGACGATTTCAAGAGATGTTTTAAGACCTGCACTGGTCTGAACGTGGTGTTGGGTCTACAGCCAAACCACCCTGAATGCATCTGAACGTGGCGACGGTCTGGCTGTGGGGGGTAAGGGGCTGCGGAGGACGATTCTGGGCTTCCTGCTCCACTGCTGACAAGCATCTGTGGGAAGCACACACTAGTCTAATCTTTTCTCCTTCTCTTCTCTGCACCTCAGGCCTGAGCCCAGGAGAATGGAACCAGCTGTGCATATCCACACACCTGCCCTCCCTCTGCTGAGATGACCCTAACCAGCGGGATTTCAGGAAACTCGTCCTCTCCCTCACTCGCGTCGCAGACAGCCAACGGTACTGTGGTCCTCACAAAACTATACTTAGAAGCAAAATGCATTCCTAAATTCAATGCTTAGTTCCATGGGTTAAAGGAAGCAACGACATTGCATTTGGAGGACATTAACCTACCCATTTTAATATGAATATGCCATGTTTGTCACCCCCTTTTCCTTCCCCTCCCAATGCCATTCACTTTAGTAACTCCTTCTATGCTGTGAAAACAGCTTGTAAAGAGTGCAACAGGAGAATTATAAAACTGAAAAGGTAAACGGCGGAGTAACAAAAGCACGTATCTGAAAAAGACTGAATTTGCACAAGATAAATCAAATGGAAACTAAGAAATGAGAGGCCCAGACATCTGGAAGCATTAAGTCCAAACCACCACGCTTTCGGCGGGACCTGTACTTTTTCAATTACTGAGTGACGTGCCTCCTTGCTTATCGCCTGCTGCAATTCCTCAGCTCCTGATGGCTGGATCTTCTCTCTTCTGACCTCAGCGTTGCCATCAGCAATCAGCTCCAAGCTGTAAATGAAATCGTCTTCTGCCAAAAACACTCTCACTCTGAATATTCTCAGAAACCATGGACTTGTCCTAATAACATTTAAGCTTTTGATTCCAGTATCCCAGTTTTTGGCTTACTCTTTCAGTTAGCTGGAGAGGGTCTTCACATGCTACATAATAAAAGAATCCTTGCCCCTGCGTTTTCATTACTTTGTTTTCATTTTTCACCTGTTGGGTAAGTCATTTCTCTACCTTTCAGCAGGTCCTTTAAGCCTTGTTTCTTCTGACATCCATTCTGTGCAGCTGGAGGATAGAAACGCAGGTTGGAATGGTGAAGAGATGCCAAGAGGCCAACTCTGCCTTCTCAGACCTTCACTGGTGTGTACTGAGGAGTAGAGCCCACCCTTGGGCTCTCCTAGGGTGTGCTGGGCACATGGTTGGGCAGCACACACTTGCACTGGTATTTGGATCAATGTGTGAAAATTAGACAGTCATGTACTGCGTTACGGAAACAGCCTCCAGGTGGCGCTGTGACCTGAGTGAGCCTGCCGGGAGGAGGGGAGCGGGTACAACTTGTCACCTAGGAAACTTGGTGTGATGTCGGGGCTGGTAGCTCAGCTGGTAAAGAATCTGCCTGCAATGCAGGAGACCCCGGTTTGATTCCTGGGTGGGGGAGACCCCCCTGGAGAAGGGACAGGCTACCCACTCCAGTATTCTTGGGCTTTCCTGGTGGCTCAGCTTGTAAATAATCCACCCACAATGGAATTTGGGAGACCTGGGTTTGATCCCTGGGTTGGGAGGCTACCCACTGCAGTATTTTGGCCTAGAGAATT